GAGGACGACAAGGACGACGAGGACGAGGACGGCGACGACGACGACGACGAGGACGGCGACGACGACGACGACGACCACGACGACGACGAGGACGACGACGACGACGAGGGCGACGGCCACGACGACGACGACGACGAGGATCACCAGGTCGACACTCTAGAAAAGCTATTCACGGGAATTCCCATCATCATCAGCAGCATCATCATCGTCATCAGCATCCTCCTCACCATCAGCATCAGCAACACCATCATCATCATCACCATCATCATCATCAGCATCATCATCATCATCATCAGCACCATCCACCTCATCCTAATCATCACCAGCATCAGCATCATCATTGCCATTACCACCCAGTCCTTCCTCACACTCTACGTCTAGCCAGCCCTTCTTGCGTGATCATCATCCCCCTCCTCATCTTGCAGCTCTGCCCGTTCGTGCTCTCCGTCCTTATCCACCCGCCCCTCGTCCTCCTCATGTTCCTCCTCCTCCGCCTTGTCCTCCTCGAACTGCTCCTCCTCATCCTCCTCCTTGTCCTCCTCCTCCTTCTCCGCCTCTCCTTCTCCTTCTCCTCCTCCTCCTCCTCCTCCTCCTCCTCATCCTCCTTCTCCTCCTCCTCCTCCTCCTCTTCGTACTCCTACCTGCATCAATGTTTCTGCCCTGTCTTCCTGCTTCTCCATGCCCTTTCCACTCCTTCCCCTCCTCGTCCTCGTTGTCGTCGTCGTCGTCGTTACCATCTCCATTCTCCGCCCCCTCCTCCTCTCCACCTCCTAGTCCTAGTCCGCATCTTCGTAGGATGGCTCCAATGAATCCTCGCCCCCGTTGTCCTCCGCCTCCTCCTCCTCCCCCTCCTCCTCGTACTCCCCCTCTTCTTCCTCCTCCTCGTCGTCGTCGTCGTCCTCCATCTCCTCCTCCTCGTCCTCCTCCCCCCTCCTCCTCCTCATTCTCCTGCTCCTTCTCCTCCTCCTCCTCCTCCTCCTCCTCCTCCTCCCTCCTCCCTCGTCCTCCGCCTCCTCCTCCTCCTCCTCCTCCTCCTCCTCCTCCCCCCCTCCTACTCCTCGCCCCTCCTCCCCCTCTCTCCTCCTCCTCCTTCTCCTCCTCCTCCTCCTCCTCCTCCTCCACCCCCTCCTCCTCCTCCTCCTCCTCCTCCTCCTCCTCCTCCTCCTGGTGATCGACGAGGATGCGCCACATTTGTGATGGCCAGCCGCGCATTGTCCGGGCTCCTTTGGCCCAGGCCCCAGGCGGGCGCGAGCAGGGTCGTTCCCCGGGCCCAGGCCCCAGGCGGGCGCGAGCAGGGTCGTTCCTCTGGCCTTTGCCCCAGGCCCCAGGCCCCGTTCCCCGTCCTCCTCCTGGTGATCGACGAGGATGCCCCACATTTGTGATGGCCAGGGCGCATCGTCGATCGTCGATCGTCGATCGTCGTCGTCGACGTCGCCGTCGTCGTCGTCGCCGTCGTCGCCGTCGTCGTCGTCGTCGCCGCCGTCGTCGTCGTCGTCGTCGTCGGCGGCGCCGTCGTCGTCGTCGTCGTCGTCGTCGTCGCCGTCGTCGTCGTCGTCGTCGCTCGAGGGGCCGCCCAACCGACAGCAGGTGGTCAGCGAGCAGAGGTCAAGTGAGAGTGAGAGTAAGAGTAAGGGCAAAAGTAGGAGTAAGAGTAGGAGTATGAGTAAGAGTGAGAGTGAGAGCAAGAGTAAGAGCAAGAGTAGGAGTAAGAGTAAGAATAAGATCAATAGTAGGAGTAAGAGCAAGAGGTCAGCTGCCGTCAGCTGCCGTCAGCTGACGGCAGCAGACTACATCTACAACGGCAGCTGACGGCAGCAGACTACATCTGACGGCAGCTGACGGCAGCTGACGGCAGCAGACTACATTGTGAACGGCAGCAGACTACATCTACAACGGCAGCTAACGTCAGCTGCCGTCAGCTGCCGTCACTCTGTCACCTGCCGTGAACGCTGTCAGCTGTGCATCGCTGCCGTGAACTCTGTCTTGATGTAATTGGCCGCTCTGCCTCCTGTTGCACTCGCCCGAGCATGGAACCACATGACGCCCGTGTTGATGTTCATAAACGGCTGTAGCATTGCTGTGGTAGGCGTCCTCCAGATCGATAGGTCTTTGCCGTCTTTGAGGTACTGGTTGAGAATGCGCCGAATCTGCTCGTCCTTCGCATGCCCATGGAAATCGGCGTAGGAACCAACATAGCCTCCGAGCGCTCTCTGCTCTGAACGAGTCCAACCACGACTCGATGAAATATCCTGAGGACCTCGAGGAACCATCTCGTGGTATAACATGCCAGTCGCGCATCCCAGCGCGAGCGTGCCGTCGAATTCACCCATGAATATGCATTGAAACCCTTGGGCTGTTGCTGCCGCACACATTGCCACCACATTCAAATAGCCTCTGGTGCATACGAAGTCTTGGGGATCTAATGGTCCACTGATGCTTGCACGAGCGACCAAAGAATGGCCTCCGGCCAGATCCTGAATCTGGCCGTCATCGCTAATCCACAAAGACTTCGGCGTGCATCCTGGGACGTGTCCGAGAGGTGCCAAGACCGCTGGTGTAATGCCTGACTTTATGTAGTCCTGGCTTCGGCAAATTGAAACGATGGTGCCCTTGGGAATTTGGCCAACCAACGCCTCGAATATCATGGTCTCGTAGAACCTGCACTTGTCCAAGTGGCTTGGAGCCTCGCCCCTGTTGTAGCGTTGCATAAGATGCCCCAAGTAGTCGCGCGTGTCTGGCGGTGGCCACACGCACGACTGGATCACTAGCGATGGCTTGTGTTGAACTTCACTGTCGTTGTAGACTTCGAAGCTGTTGAGCTGACGAATGCGAACTCCGAGGCTGCGTAGAGCGGGTCCAGCGTGACTCTCCATCACCGCCGTGTCCAGATCCGAAGCGATCCACCCTGTCAAAGTGTATGGCCCCGCTTGGTTGATGTGGCTAGGGTCCTCAGCCATGATGATGAAACCACGTTGGCTTTGAACTCTGACGCGACCACTTTGACCACTTGGCACTTGGCACTTTGCACCACTTGGCACTTTGGCTTTGCACCACTTGGCACTTGGCACTTGGCACTTCGCACTTGGCACTTTGGCTTTGCACCGCTTGGCACTTGAACTTGGCACTTGGCACTTGGCACTTTGCACCACTTGGCACAACTGAATCCAACGTTAGAGGTGAACAAGGACTTCACGTTGGCAGAAACGATATGAAACAAACTCTAAACTTGAACCAACAATATGGTCTACGGAGGAGGAAGAGGAGGAGGAGTCTTCTCAAGGGCCTCTGAGGAGGCCTCCTGGGGCCCGTGCCGCGGGTTCGGCCTGATGTCATCAGAGGGGGCCGCGTGCCCACCGACTCCGCTGGATCTCCCAGCAGCCCACGATTGGCGACAGTTTTTCGGTTCGCAGCCCCCGCGCTTGCACGCAAGGTCAAAATGCTAAGGAGTCCGTCATCAGGTTGTCCCCAAGCAGTGCTTGCACGTATGGCAGGCATGCAGTGGAGGCCATCAGACATCTTTCCCCAGGCAGTGCTTGCACGCATGGCAAAAGGCTTGCAGGGTGCCCATAATCCCAAAATAATGGCTGCCCCTCCCCAAGCAGTGCTTGCACGTAGTGCAGAAAGGCCATGGGGGGAAGAATATGCCCATCAAGTAATATTCCCCGAGCAGTGCATGCGCGCATATCCCCCCCTCCAAACAGCGCTTGCCCCCCGCTTCTCGACCGCCCGCCCCGCTCCCAACAACTGCGGCCCGCCTCCCCGCTCGGCTG